GCTAGTTTTGTCTGCTGAGCTTAGGATGGAAGTTTTGCTGCTCTTCTTTGATATCAATTTGCATCCTAGTTTACTTGTGGATCCTTTTTTTTTTCTAACAGTTTGCTTCTGATCTAATATGAGCTGATTAAAGAGTATTTTCCAACTTAATATGAATAAGTCTGTTTTCTCCTTGTTGCAGAGAATTTCGCTTTTGAAGTTCTTGTGTGATGAGGCATTGAATTCAGCCATTATTTGTGACCATATTGAACGAAGCAGCGCTAGATTTGGTGATTTACAGCAGAAATTGCGTTCCTTCAATTCTGAACGGAAACTTTTGAAATTCAAGGAAGAAAATTTGGTTGCAAACATGGCAAAGGCAAAGGGCCATGTGCAGGGTGGAAGTGGAGAATCGGAGTTGAATGAGATGGCATCTCTGCCTGCTGACGATGGGAAATTTAAGGCACAGTTGACTAATAGCAGCAAGGTTTCACCCTTTGGTAGCTTAATTAAGATGGAGGATGGTCAACAGGCCAAAGATCAAAGTGATTATAGTTCAACAAGCATGTTGGAGAAGCAATATCCTACTGTAAACACTCAAGTTTCAAAGGCTTCTCTTGCAGTTAATCAACTACGAGGTCAGCCTTCTGGAATAGATCTTATTCAATCAAGCTATATTAAAGGATCTAAGTGCAAGAATGAGTTGGCAACGTCTATTCAACAAAAAGATGATCAAAGTGAAGACAATGGTGGGACTAATATTGATGAATCCCAGGAGTTGGGATGTGGTAGTTCCAGTGTTTCAATTCTATCTACAGGTCAGCTAATGCCAGAAAACAAATTGTCTGCCACATCGAGTGAACATGCATTCATGCATATGCCTTCCTCTCCGGTTCACCAGTGTTCTACCCATGCCAATGATGGTCTTTCACAAGAGTGCGATGCTCAATTGAGCAACCTTAAGAGCGAGATAACTCGTTTGCAGGACTCAATAGATACACTTGAGTCAGAACTCCTCAGGACATCTGTAAGGAAGGAATTCTTGGGAAGGGATGCTGATGGCAGACTCTATTGGGGTTTTGGCAGGCCCAGTGCTTGTCCACAGATATTGGTCAATGCGAGTTTGAAAGCAGAACAGGTGGTTGAACCAGAGAGTTTCTTCCATAACTTTAATTCATGGATGTCTTATAGTGCTGGCACTGATGTTGAAGAACTCATGAATTGGCTGGATGATGGAGACACAAGGGAGAGAGAATTGAAAGAAGCTATGTTACAGTGGCAAGGTAATAAATCCATGGACAGCAGTCATCCTGACAATGATATCCTGGATGGAGGACCGGTCATTTCCAATAACATATCTAGTGCAGGAAAAGCTAGAGATTCTGATTTTCTAGTCACGAAAGCTGTGAGTTCAATGGAAAAATGTTTTGGTCCTTGCTTGGAGATATGGACTAACGATATGCATAATAATCTTCAGAAAAGTAGATCTCCTGACGAAGGTAGAATGTACAGGTGCGAGTGCTTGGAATTGATATGGCCTTCTAGGAACCATTGCTTCTCATGTCACAGGACATTTCCTAATAGTGAAGAACTTACAGAGCATGCTGGTGAAAAATGCAAAACCTTTTCTACTCTTTGTCCAAGTAGCCAGATAAGTGAACAATCCTCAAAGCATAAAAATATGTTGAGGAATGAGAAGTCAGCAGAGAAATGCTCTGGCAGTATGAGCACTAGTTTGACATCTTTGAGCGAGAAATATGGTAATGGATCTAGTTTCCTTGATCATTCACTGGAACCAGAGTGCCCATTTAATTTTCAGGAAATTTTGTCAAAATTCAAAGTTGAAAATTCACTTACAGAATTGGTAAAGGAAATAGGATTAATTGGTTCCAATGGTGTTGTATCCTTTGTGCCTAGTAAATCTCCTTATCTTGATGACGCTTCACTGACCTTGGCCCCAACAACTGATAATGCAATTGGCCTAGGAGATGTACCTTCAGTATCAGAAAGTCAGCAGCAGCAATCTGACCATGGAGCTAATACTGGGGTGAGTGCAAATGAAATTTCAGGTTATCTGCAAGGCAGCAAACTTGACAAGCGTGAAGGCGTAGGAAAACCTGAGTTTGCAAAACCCATGCTTCTAAGTCAAAGGGGTCAATCTGCTTCTACAAAGGAAAGAAACTCAGTGCTTGGCATATATAAGAGATGTGTGATTCGTGAATCCTCATTGATACCAAAAGTAGGCAAAGCTTCTGAAATTCTCAGGTGTCTGAAAATTAACTTGCTTGACATGGATGCTGCTCTCCCTGATGCTTCTCTCAGGGCATCAAGATCACACTCAAACAGAAGATGTGCCTGGCGAACATTTGTAAAATCTGCCAAGAGCTTATATGAGGTTAGTTGCTAACTTTGCCTTTTAGTCCTGCTAATTCTTTTATTAGCTGATATAACTTTGGATTTTTCTTGTCATCTTTGAGAGACCTAATATAAGCATTGATGAAACTTATGCATGCATGTTAACTGGTATGAAAGGTAGACTATGAATTTGTGGTAGCTGTTTGTAACATTATTACCAAAATGTGTCAGTTTAACTGGAACTTTAAAAGAATTCTTTGTTGGATTATGACATCTTTGAAAAAGAAATGGCAAAAGAGTTTTTCTGAACTAATGATGTGGGCATGAGCTTGAATATACCTTCAAGTTGAGATCACTATTTGGAAACAGGAATTTAGATGGAAATAGGTTTAATGTTTGCTTAATCATGTCAAGGTTACTTGGCTAGCCAAGTTGCAGCCCTACAGTGATTTACCTGTATTAGCACAGTGACTGACATGCTTTACCTTGAAATTCTATGTATTTGGATTTGGAATTCCTATTGAAAAGGAGTTGACATTTTATCTTGAATGATGTTGGCCCCTTTCTATGGTTAGTACTCGTTTATGCTGTTCTTTCATCTTTGAGAATGGGTTACGAAGTAAGTTGTTTGCCCTTGTTCTTGGGTTGCATATACGTACTTGTTTCCTATTTATCCTAATATCCTTGATAAGACAATGAATTGAGTAACGTCTTCTTTGATAAAATGATCAACATAATAATTTTCCTGAGCTCAGACACCACGCATGTCTACAAGTCATGAATGTATTATCTATGTTCTAAAGAAAGTTATTGGCTTCCTTGACCTCGTGGTTTTGAGGGTTTAGCTTTCTTGTCTTCCAGATGGTTCAAGCTACAATCGTACTTGAGGACACAATCAAAACGGAATACCTAAGAAATGACTGGTGGTACTGGTCGTCCCCTTCAGCTGCAGCTAATATTTCAACTCTCTCTGCACTTGCTCTTCGCATATACTCCTTGGATTCTGCAATATTATATGAGAAACCTACTTTGACTCATGACCCAATGGAAACAACTCTTGATTGCAAATCCGAGAAGGAAGCTCTGCAAAGTTCAGGCCCAACTAATAACTTGAAGCCTAGCAATCAGCTGATGCAAAAGATGCCTGATTCAGATTCTGGAGAGAATTCAAAACCAAGGACCAGAGCAAGCAAGCGAAGGAGAGATTCTGGAGTTTAATTTTCGATATGTACCTTCCTCTCTTTAGGAGAGCGAAGGCAGTCTGAGCCCAGTTTATTCCATTGGCATGGTGGACTCCAATGTGCTTAAACCTCTCTCTATTGGTGTTCGGCAAGGTACTAAGAGCTCTTTATCCGGTCACTGATTTGACTACAATCTGAGAGTAACTGGTTTCTGGTGGATAGCCTGCAAATTATCAGGCATCCTTGTGCAGCTATTCGTTTGTTGCTAATTTATTCTGAGAATCAAAGAAACTTCATGGCCTTGCTCTCCCTGGTCTGCTGGGTAAAGATGTCTACCACGACAGAGAACTTGGAGCAAGCTCGGACGGATTTTTGCTCAGAATTGCGTTCTGGCTGCCCTTTTACAAGGTAGATCAAGTTTTGCATAGTGGAAGTACAAATTAGGCAGAGCGAGATGTTTTCATATAAAGAAAACAGTCAAAGAAACGAGGCATAGGAAACAAGTCAACGTCACGTACATAGATAGGAAACTGAGCAGGTGCAGTTTTGTGTATATATTGAGAGAGATTTCATCATCTTACGTGTCCTATTGAGAGACTGGAACTAATTATTTCGCATTCGCTAATAGAAAGAAGTTTTAGACACGTCCCTTTATCTCTATTGTTCTCCCAGGATTAGTTCTGGAAGAGCCGTCGTTGATAGGTTTTAGCAGGGGGGGGGGGGGAATTCATTTCCTAGCTGAAACTCATTTTTATCTTTTAAATACATAACATCAAAGGAAGGTAAGAGGAACAAAGACAATTTTTTAGCCACAATGATGAGATATAATTTCACGTTTCACTGCACAAACACAACATTCTCGAAAGTCTGTCCCAAGGGATGAATTGACAGTAAAAAACCAGCCTGACTGCCCGGAAAAATAACAGATTTCCCTCTTTCGGCCGCCGCATTCTATCAACCCGCGAGCCAAGTCTCTAATGGTCAATGGGAAACAAGGCTGAACTACATTATCAGCTTTTTATTTCTATATTGTCGCCCTGGTTACTGATAGTAGGCACAATACAAATAATCTATGCAGCTTCAACATCTCTTGGCCAACGTAATTTAAAAAAAAGAATAGCTTATTCTTCCGTATCTCATATGGGTCTGCAAGTGTAGAAACACAATTGAGTTTCCTTTTTATAGCGCGCCTGAAGGGAATGCGCCAATCAAATGAATAAACATAAAATTACATCGTGTTGGAACTAACAGCAAGGTGGCTATGCGAATACGCTTAATGCTTTGCCATATGGTTTTGGTGCTTCAACTCCTTCGGGACGATTCCACTGCCTTGTGGTTTTGGTCCTTCAACTTCGCTCTTGAAAGGCGTTTTTATTTGTTTATAATAATACTGCGAAGAAGATTAGTGTCAAAGACGTCATTTTGTTTGTAACGTACATCACGCAAGGCACAAGAGCTTGCGTCATTCATGGAAGGCGTAGAATAGTTCAGTGTGCTTCAGCTAATTCTGTGAAGAAGCAAACCATAGACTAACCGGTAAAAGTACATTATAGCCTTGCTTTAGGAGAAGCTTCCATAGTAGAAAATAAACAAATATGGGGTAAATGTGAATTACATTTAACGACGAAGGCACAGCAGCGGCTAAACAAACATGGAAAAATTGTGAATGCATTTAACAAAGAGGTTACGAAGATACTGGCAACGAGCGCCGGCCTGACATCCCGCCCTTTTATCTTGGCAAGTAGCATATAGACATCGATGTAGAATACCATCTGCCTGCTAGTGCAAGATGGACTTCGAGAGTATAACGCTAAACAAAGTCAGTCTGGCAGAAGGGACCATCCTCAAGACTAACAACACGTGCTTTTAGCCCATCCTAAATCATGTCCTAGACCGCAAAGCCAGACCCGTTTCTACTCTCTTAATCTCGAATATTAGCATCCTCCACATCTTCAGCACAAACATTTCAGCTTCCTCATCTAATATAGCCTGGAGCCTATTCAACATCTCAGTTGCCTCTACATGTTCCCTGGTGCTGGACATTATGTACTCTACCAATGAGGGCTCTTCCTCTCCCAGAAATTCTGTAATCTTCTTAGAGATCCAAGGTTTCATTCTCTCATGCAACGCATTCTGTCAAAAAAGTTGACATGACAGCAAAACCTCAAAATGCAATCAAATAGGAAAATAATTCACAACTATATTAAAGCTAACACATTAGACGCTCCAAATCTTTTAAATGGCTGAAAACCATAAACTTGAGAACAACATCTTCCATAGGACCTGCCCAAGCCTGGTGGGTAAAATGAATAAAAGATCCAGTTTTCTAGTAGGAAAATAACAAGGAGACTTTAGCAATAAAAAGGATCTTACACTTCTTGCGGTGACTGACTAACAGGATACAAAAAGAAGAATAAACATTGTGGTTTCTAACTTTTCTTTGTCTCGTTCCTGAGCTTTAGGATCAGCACAAAGACTAGAAAGGCCAAGTCACTGTTTTCAAACCAACCAGGTAAAAGCAATATGCAACACACTCAGCAAGCTAATAAAAATGTAACAAATAGTGCATTAGGAGGCATGTTCACCTTATCATAAGTTGCCCAGTTTATCCCATACGAAAATAACTCATCTTTGGTCTTTGGAATCATATCAATCAACTGTTTGGCATCCAAGAGCTTCTGATTATCTGGGGCCTTCACTTTATCAAGTCCAGGTTCTCGTACCCTGTCCCGGTCCAAACTCTCTTTCCTACTCTCTTCTCTGGTGCGTGTAAAATCATCGCCATTTCTGTCCCTATCCCTCTGGCTTGATCTATCATGAGACCTCCTACCTTTTTCCTTTTCCAAATCAGGCTTCTCATCCTTAGAATTATTATTTGATATGCGTCTTACAGACTCTGTTGCCACTGCTAAATTAGAAGGTGGTGCTTCAGAAACTAATGAGTGGATAGCCAGCTGTTCCTCTGTTGAGTAATCAATTGGAACTAGAGGTCTCATCTTCTTTTCCTTGTGCATGTCCTCATCCTCATCTTGGTCAAATACAGAAGGAACAGTGGTTCTTTTCCCCGATCCTTGCAGACCAAAGCCCAATTTTCTAGATGGAGCATTGCTATTTTGCCGTGCATCATTTGTAGAAAGAGAAGCCATCAATGACAGATCAGCAATACCATTTTGCACAGTCCCATCGCCTAACACTTTAACACAAATCTTGTTATAAAACATCAAAAAAAATTAAATTCAAAAAGTACGAAGAAAATGAGCTAGCTAACTAACCAATACCATTATTCACACCTAAATCATGATCAGAAGTCTGTTCAATGGCCTTATCCTTGCTTCCACAATTGTTTTCTTCAGGTAAAACAGTTCCATCACGTCCATTGCCAGATAAAAGCCTTAATTCCTCCTCCTGTTCTTTCTTCTTCCGCTCTTCCTCAGCCATCCTCTTGGCCTCAGCAACCTCTTCTTCTTCTTTCAATCTATCACCCATGTCTTCTTCCTTTTCCCTTTGTCTCCTCCTCCTTTCCTCCTCACTATCCCTATACTTCTTCTTCTTGCTATAACCATCATCTCTTTCACGCTCTTGATTTGCTATCTCTGATCTGCGCTCCTGTGCCCGGTTCTTCTCCCTCTCTCTTTCTCTCTTCCGCCAGTGTTCTCGCTCTTTTTCTCTAGCTTCCCACTCTTTTTCACGTGCCTTAAACCTACGCTCATCATCCCGTATTCTATATTCTCTCTCCTTCTCTCGCTTAGCTCGTTCTTGTTCACGTTCTCTCTCATACCTTTCTAGTTCTTTCTCCTTTTCTCGCTTGAGTTCTCGGTCACGGTCTCTGCTTCTCCTATCATGCCTTCTTTCACGATCTGGTGAACTTGTTTCAGATCTATCCTGCTCTCCTGATGGTTTGCTTTCACCAGGCATCTCATTTTCGTATTTGTCTTCAACAGCATCTGCAAAATGATTGTGAAGCAATTCAAACATTAAAAATATCATAGATTCATATGACAGACGCAAGTTTAAAATTTTCATGCTATTGTCAACATACGTACCAGCTTTTGTAGTATCTGCATCCATTTCTCCATCCTTTGATCTAGCAGAACCTTCCAAGTTGGAGCTAGATGAACCATCAGCAGCAATCTGAGGAGGTGGTGGAGGTAAAGGTCTGTTTTTCAACCTCTCCTCTATCAGGCCCGTGAGCTTCTCCAAAGCCTCTTGATCACCTTTTCTATCATCATCAGTTACAAGGCCAAAGCTGGAAGCATCCCTATTCTCATCATTCTTTGTGTTATTGTCATCTTTTTCTGAATCTCCTGTAGCAGACTTTGATGATTCCAAAGAGGGCTTTGACGCATCTTTCTGTTTATCAGCAGATAAAACTCCACCTCTCTTTGTGCTCTCGGTACTACTTTCGGTTTCAGTTTCATTGACATTCTTCAAGCTTTCTCGTTTTTTTCGAACAAAATCGTCTAGATAATCCCGAGTTGCTTGATTATAGTTTAACTGAGAGGGCATATCAGATATTAGCAGTGTCATATGTTATCTTATCCAAAGTACTGCTCTATTTCCGGGTTACATTAGGGATGGAAAGAGGAAAAGGGAGAGCTTTCTAACTGGAGTAAGAGCCAGCTGATAACTTCAGAAGCAGGACTTGACAAAAACATCTATGATTACCCTATAGGGGAAAAAAAAAGAAGAAGAAGAACAAGCCAATGCAATATTTGTATGTCTATGCATGCTTAGAGGCTAGTGGAAAAACAAATTAATATCACATCCAGGTGTGAGATCTATCTTACAACTTAAGATGTGAAAATCCATCAATTCTAATAGCACAGATTAAACACTACCACGAATTCAAAAGCACACATGAAAAAGATGCTTGATGATTTTTAACACTCATTTTGCCAATCTACCTACCCCTTTTTTTTTTGCCATTGTGTGTGTGTAGAAATAGAGAGAGGGTGTGTGTGTGTGTGTGAGAGAGAGAGAGAGAGAGAAAGTACCATCAACTCCTGTCCATCAATGTTTAATTTACTGAGAAGCCGAATTGCACGAAGAACCCCTTCAGCAGACTCAAATTCACAGAATCCAAAACCTTTAAAAGTTCCATCCGTAGGATTTTGAGGACGTCTCCAACTCTTCACCGGCCCACATAACTTGGAAAATTACATGCACATATACAGATGTCAATGCAAGTATACACGTCAAAACTCAATTGAATAAAAAATGGGAAAGCTGTAGCTTGAGATAATCATAATTTGATTATACAAATGAATCCCATTAATAAGGTCACGTACTTCCAACAGAGAAAGAATGAAGTCGTTTTCCACTGTTGAAGCTATCTTGCCCACATAAAGAGTTGTTTGCTTCTCTGTGGATGCAACACTTGGGACAACAGCCGGCCGAACAACAGCAGGAATGATTGGAGCTCGAGGACCAGCAATGGGAGGACGAGGCAGTGGGGGGAGGACGCCACCTGCAGCCAGTGGACGTGTAGGATATGCTGGTCGAGCCATAGGTGCAAAAGGAGACGGATAACGAAGAATTCCTGCATCAACGAATCAAGATCTATGCAACTCTATCAGAGAATGCTGATAGCTAATAGCAATTTTAAGTTCTGAAAATATATTAAAAATGGGAATAAAAAGACTTTCACAAGTATAATCAAACTTTGTTACCAAACATTACAAGCAATTAGAGATGGCAGCACAGGAATGACAACACTCACCAGCTGAACAGATAACCTGAAGCAAAATCAAGGAGACATTGAATTTATAAATTATGAATGTGAAGCTGGACTTGGCTTATGCTCCCACTTGAAAACAGTAGCGTTCTAAACCTACCCCGTAAAGCAATTGTGCAAAATTTACATTGAGACTGGTTGCGTCATGTTCACATTGATACAATATATTATAACCAACAAATTTTGACCTTCGTTAGTACTAAATATAGCAACCATCTTCAACCTGATGTCATATGCAGTAAACAAAATTCAGAAAATTAAAAACAATTCATATAATTGGAGAGATTGTGATACCTTGGTATCCAGAGGCAAGAAGCAATCAGTTGTTAACATGGTCTGCTGCCGGCAATACATGAATCAAGATCCGAATAAATGAAATAAAGTATCCTTACATCTAAAAGAACTATCCTATTAGAGTAAAGAGAGCAGAACCAGACATTATTGGACAAAAGATATTTGTTGCTAGATGACATCTTTCCATCATGTTCATTTAGATTAACAAGAAACATTTTCTTTCTCCATTTCTACAAATTAATGCCCACACAAGAATCAAAAGAATGAAGCAAATTTTTGTGCATACCAAAAAAGTAGTTGGAGATTGGGATAGTCAGTACACTCTAAAAAAACTCCATGTGAAGCCTTCTTCACCCTTTCTCACCGTAATCAGTCAAGAAACTGTAGGAGAAAACATCCTGTCATCGATACCCCTCATCCAACTAACACCAATCCTACCTTCTCACCAATTTTCAAACCCAGTTTCAATTAACACATATTTACAAATTGAAGCTCACTGCAGAAGTAAATACACGAATACCCATAGACATTAAGAAGCAAAGTAACATCCAGTCAACTAACATCCATAAATATGCAAGTGGCCACCTTATTCTTTTTGCTACTTATTTACAATTATTTACTATTAATTTCCTTAAAACTAATTCAATAAAACCATGCCAGAATCCATAAAAATTTAGCCTTTTCCAGATAGGTCAGTTTCCTACTACTTATTGACAAGTATTGACTTCCGTAACTAATCCAATCAGACCATACCAAATTTGATAAAGCTAGCGCCTATTTGCAGCCAAAACAACTAGAATCAGTTCAGTTACTTCAGTAAGCTAGCAATACATAGGCTCGAATCAGCTTTTTTTTACGCAAAAAGGAATGAAACAATTTGTTGATAAATTGACGTGTGAATTTACCCACCCGGAGGAGGAATGACGCCCTGAGGAGCAGACTGGGGGATAGCCGGGTAACCATTTGGCAGAGGTGCATACGGAGCCCTAATTGGCTGGCCTTGGGGAGCATAAGAAAGCGGCGGAATAACTGGAGGAACAGATGATGCCACCGGAACCTGCCCCGCCCCCGTAACAGATGGCGGCGGCGGCGGCAACATGCCAGGAAGCTGAGGCAGTGCGCTCACACCCGGAGGCGGCACCCCAACGGGTGCCTGATAACCAGGGTTGAGAGGAATTGGCGAGAACTGAGGTAAAGGAGTGGTTGCAGGACGGAAGGAAGGTGCAGTTGGCGGAACAACAGCACCGGGCTGGATCGAAGGCGGAGCTATGAGTGAAGTCTGCGGCGGCGGCGGGGGTGTGGTTTGGTTTGGGTTTGGATTAGGGTTTGGAGGAAGAATTGAGGACTGCTTAGGTACCGATGAATCGAGTTGTGTGTTGGGACTAACGGATTCGGACTGTAAAGAGTTGGACTCTGGTGCTGGTGGCGGCGGTGGTGTTGTGGTTTCTGCTGAGGTAGAAGACAACGGTTCCGCCATTGATACCTAATTGCATTCGACTGGAGCTTTTTCACGTTTATTTTGGAATTTTGTCCCGCAAAACTTTTTTGCTACCGTGTTTATTTGTGCAGCGCCTGCTACTTATTCCTATGTGACGTCGTTCATTCTACTTTGCCACGTGTTTTAGTTTTTGAATTGTTTCGCTACGAATAGGATTATACCTGGCAAAACACATGTATAAGTGCAAGTGTTTGTAGTAGCGCTTTCTAAAGTAGCAGCTCAACCCTGCAAATTAGAAGGCTATTAACTTTAGATTCACTGGATTTGTTTGGATGGGAGTTTACTTGGATGATTTATTTGAGATGATTAGTGTAATACTTTTTGTAATATGATATATGTGAGATAAAAAAGTGATTGAAATTTATGAAACAAATTAATTTGTCTCAAATAATTTCAATTCATTCTGTTGAAAAAAGGGGTTAATTACACTTTGCCTGCCTGAACTTGGGCCCTCGTAACATTTTATCCCCTAAACTCCAAATATATACATTTTACCCCTCATGATCAACTTTTTACTGAATTAAAATGAAGTTATATTTTTTATGACCAAAATATCGCTACCTAATTCTTAAACACACGTAATAAATATCCATTTTTTTAATAGTTGCTAATGTATCCAAACACAATTACAATATACATTTTGATCTTTTAACACTAAAATGAATTAAATAATTCACAATAAAGAAGTCTAAGGAAATCAATGTATTATCTTAATGCTGATAGCAGTACTTATTTTAAATTGAATAAATTTAATTAGTGCATTAGGAATGAAATATATTTGCTTAAATTCTTTTATTGTAGCAATTTTTAATATGTTTTATATGCGATAAAAAATGTATTGAAAAACGTATTTATAAATGTTTTAACTTTTTAAAATGTAGAATTCAAACAAAATATAAAGCAAGATATGAATGTACTATAAAATCACCAAATAACATCTTATTGACTCATGAAAATCTTGTAAAATTTGCAAGGTAAATGAAAATTATTAGAACTAATCCACATACAATTTAAACGAAGAAAGATAAGCGATGAAAAACTTGTGCAGATGTTTTAGAAATTTTTAAATTCTTTTTTTATCAACAATACAAAATTTCAATTCTTTGGTATTATACCATCTTTTATTTTTAATTTTCTAAAACATGCGACCTTGTGTTTTTTCTAATAAGATGTTTCATATTCCAATTAAAAGTATAACACTAGTTTAGAACTAACATGTAAGGGCATTAATGTTATTTTGTTAAAATTTTGGATGGAGAATTTATCATTAATATTTGACTAGTCAATGTGGGGGTAAAGTGTATATATTTAAAAGTTAGGTGGGCAAAGTGTTATAAATAGTCAAGTTCAAGGGGGTAAACTGTAATTAATCTAAAAAAACTTTAGATTCGCAGTGGATAGGAAAATGGCAAATTTTGTCCTTAAACATTTTTCTAGAGTAAATTTAGTTCCTAATTTTTATTCTGTCAATTTAATACATAAACTTAATTTTCAGATCCAATTAAAACCTCTATGGTGGCGCCACCACCTAAAAACATTTTGGGTCCTAATTTAACAATTAAACAAGAGCATTTTGAAAACTTTGAATTATCTCCTCTCTCCACTACCAACCTCTATCACCAACCACCCACCTCCTCCTTCTCATTCCATCTCTCCCTCCCCACCCTCTTTTCCCCACCTTTGAGTTTACATTGTAATTGAGAAAGTAGAAGAAGAAACCTGCAAATGCTGTGAAAGACAAAAAAGTACTGTAATTCTTCTGCTTCCTTCAATAATCATGTTAGTGGGAACGGGACTAGGGAGTAAGGGAGATTCAATTGCCATTCTCGTCGTTTCCTGCTTTTGTTCATTCTTTCCTAATGTAATGCTATCAATTTCCCTACATTTGGCGAAAATTTAAAGAATTGCCAACAAGATATTCTGGAATCTTAAGCTATTTCTACGGTCTAGCCTATCTTCGAAAATTCCTCAAAAAAAAATATAAAGCCTATCTTAGAGAAATGGACTAGGAATATGATTTCTTCTGTTCCATTGGCTTTTTCTAATGTTTCTAATGTCATTATATATTTGGGTTTGGAATTGTAGGTGAGTGGGTTCCCAATATTCTAGCCCTTAAAGCTATTTATGTGATATGTTGAGCAAGTTGATTTCCCTTGCGTCAAAGTCCACCTTCCTCTTGCAATTTGCGGCCTTTGAGACTTAAAACTCCACATTTAGTCCATACCCCAGAGTCTTTGCAGCCTTGCGGACAATGGAGAGATGTTAGGTGAAAGTACTTGATCTCCTTAGACATCACATCTTTGGTGAGTTAATGGTGTAGGTTAATAGGAAAAGGGATGGTTGAGGAAAGTAGCCGACAGGCAGAGGAAGGCAGGCAGTGGTAGCTGTGGCAAGAAGGGATGAGGTAGAATAAGGGTTAAGAAGTTAATTAAAAAATTTAAAAATATCTTAAAAAGATTTTAAATTTAAAAATGTCCCAAATACTAATGATTTTTTTAATTTACTCGGTTTGACTACAATTCATACTTGAAGTTCCCGAAATACACTTATTTGACTATTCAATTGGAAATTCAATCGTTTTTAGATGGTAGCATCGCCACAAAATAATTTAATTGGATTCAAAAATTAAATTTAAGGAGCAAATTGGGCAAAAATAAAAGTGAGAAGACTAAATCGACTGTAGAAAAAAATTTAGGGACGAATGGGCCATTTTCCAAAAAATACGTTTGTCAATGGTTCCATAAATTTAAGTACAGTTCTCATCTTAATGTAACCATAAATCGGCTGAAACAACACTAAAGGTCTGTTTGATAACATAAAAAAAGTACTGAATTTGAACTTTTTCAGACATTCAAATGTTTTGAATGTTTGATAAATGAAAATCCATTTGCTGAACTTGTTAAGCAGTGCTAAACTTGTATGTTATTTTTTCATTACAAAATCCTAACTGAATGCTTAATTCTGATAATAATCAATAGACTTTCTTTACTTATCTTATCTTATCTACCAAATCTATCATTGTTTATTAATTATGTTCAAAATTCTTATATAATTAAACAATCTGATATTCTCTATCTAATGATTTTCTATTTCTCTTTTCTCCCTTTTGAATGACTTTCACTTCTTTTCTATACTCCTCATATAATATAATTTATCTTTTATATTAATTTGATTTAAAAATAAATATTGTCATTTTCATACCTAAATTTTAGCTAATTAAATCATAGGTTCTATTTCTTTTTTGGGTGAAAAGATAAAAGGGCAAAATTGTCAAATTTAACTTACTAAGCATTCAGTTATAAATATTTATCAAACAGTATAAATAGGTTTAGCATTAAAATTTGGACATTCATATATTTATTTTCAGTGCTTAAAATTTAGCAAATTAATTATTTCAGTATTCAGATTTCAGAATTCAGACTTCAGAATTCAGATTCAGTTTTATCAAATGGAACCTAAGACACCTAATTAACAATATAATGAAACTTACCTAAAGTAGTCTTTAATCGTGGATGGCTAATGGAAAAGTTTATAGGCCAATGAAATCTAGAAATGTAGAATTAGGAAAGAGGTTGTTGTGAATGTATTTATTGTATTGTTTCTATTCTGGGTAGTTAAAAAGATTGAATTTGGTTATATGTATATAAAATCAAAAATTGATCAGAATGGTTGCAAAAATTGGCATCTGACAATGCAAATAAAAAACTAATAATATCTTATAATACCCTCAACATCCGCACAAGAAATAATAAAATTACACAAAATAATCAATAATATCTAAAGTTATTCTTAGTAGTTGGGTAGAAATGAGATTAGATATATACAAATAGAACTAGACACAGTTTATAATCAAATATTCTATATTTTTCTTTTAAACTATAAT